TGAGGGTTGCGATCCCGTTGCCGGTCCCGGTCTGGTATGGGTGCGACACTGAGGGTTGCGATCCGTTGCCGGACACGAAAAAAGACAAAAAGGAAAAAAAAAAAGAAAGAAAGAAAATAAATAAATAAATAATAAAGCAAAAATACTAGCCTTCCTTGAGGCCGTATGGTATCCAAAAAGAGTGGCCATCATACATTGTCTGGGGCACCAGAAAGATAACTCATTTGAGATCCAAGGCAATGCTGCTACAGATTTGACTGCCAAAGAGGCCACATTAAAACCAATGGGGCCATTTGACTCTTTAATAGTCGTTCTGGCACCTCAGTTGCTGCCGACTCCCCATTATATTAAAGAAGGAGTAGAACATGCTAAGATCTTAAAAGCCTCCAACACTGCCATGAATTAGAAAATTCTGCCAGACCACAGGATTTATTTGCCACAGGCTCTAGGCAAATTGCTGATTAAACAGATACATCAAGGAACACACTTTGGATCCACAAAATTAACTGAACTTTTTTTTTTTTTTTTTCCTTTTTGTCTTTTTTCGTGTCCGGCAACGGATCGCAACCCTCAGTGTCGCACCCATACCAGACCGGGACCGGCAACGGGATCGCAACCCTCGGTGTTGCGCCCGCACCTTGCTCAGCCAGTGAGCGGGAACCGGTCTGTATGTGGGATCCGAACTAGGCAGATTGCTAATTAAATACATACATCAAGAAACACACCTTGGATCCACAAAATTAACTTAACTTTTAAAAAATATTATTACATCTAAGATCTTGACAAAATAACAAAAGACATTGTTACCAAATATGAAATTTGTTCACAAGTAAATCCAGGATCAAAATCAAGGCTGCCAGGGCCGGCCCGGTGGTGCACTGCTACAGTGCGCCGCTTGGGAAGTGCGGCGGCGCTCCCGCCGAGGGTTCGGATCCCACATACAGACCGGCCGCTCACTGGCTGAGCGAGGGGCGGGTGCAACACCGAGGGTTGCAATCCCGTTGCCGGTCCCGGTCCGGTGCGGGCGTGACACTGAGGGCTGCAGTATGTTGCCGGACATGAAAAAAGACAAAAAGGAAAAAAAAAAAATCAAGGCTGCCCACTGGAACCAGAACGCAAGGAACCAACCCTGTCAAACACTGGGAAATGGACTTCACTGAGGTAAAACCTGGACAGTATGGGTACTGCTACCTTTTGGTGTTCATAGATACTTTTTCTGGATGGGTAGAAGCCCTTCCTACCAAAACTGAAATCACTCAGATAACACTAAAAAATTGTTACAGGAAATTGTCCCCAGATTTGGCCTACCTATAATCTTGGGGTCTGACAATGGCCTGGCTTTCACAGCCCAAATTTCCCAATTATTAGCTAAAACATTAAAAATGAATTGGAATTTGCATTATCTTTATAGGCCACAAAGTTCAGGACAGGTAGAATGAATGAATCGGACTTTAAAAGAAACACTTACCAAATTAAAACTAGAGACTGGCGAGAACTGGATGAGCCTCCTTCCCTTTGCCCTCCTAAGGGCTGAATGAACCCCCTACATACAAGGAATTACACCCTCTCTGTTGCACTGCCTCAGAGATGATAAACTTGCTGAAATCACTAACCATAACTTTCTTCAGTCTATGCCAGATTCACCCCTTGGTCAGAGAGGCCTACCCACCGACAAAAGCAATTGGTCAATTCTGCAAAAAGGCCTCTTGGAATGTGAGAGAGGTTACATTGAATCTATCAATCAATTTGGGAGAAATTGACATCTTAACAATATTGTCTTGTAGTCCATAAACATAAAATGTCTCTGTATTTACTGAGACTGTCTTTAATTTCTATTAGCAATATTTTGTAGTTTTCAACAGACAAGTCTTGCATGCTTTGGGGTTTTTTTTTTTTTTTTTTTCCTTTTTGTCTTTTTTTCGTGACCGGTAACGGGATCGCAACCCTCAGTGTTGCGCCCGTACCGTGACCGGCAACGGGATCGCAACCCTCGGTGTCGCGCCCACACTGCGCTCAACCAGTGAGCCAACCGGTCTCTATATGGAATCCAAACCCTCAGCGGGCGCGCCGCCGCACTCCCAAGCGCCGCACTCTACCGAGTGCGCCACCGGGCCGGCCCTTGCATGCTTTTGTTAAAATTGTTCCTAAACATTTTATTCTCTTCAATGCTATTGTGAATGAAATTGTTAAGTTCATTTTCAAACTGTTCATTACTGGTATATAGAAGTACAATTCCTTTTTTCATTTTAATCTCGGGTCCTCAAACTTGCCAAACATGTTTAGTTCTAGTAGCTTTTTGTACGGATTCCTCAGTATTTTCTACACACAGGACCATACCATCCATGGATAAAGACAGTTTTACTTGTTCCTTTCCAATCTGGACCTCCTTCTTTGTCATGAGCAGACTGACTAACATACAATGCTGGCCCCATACAATGCTGCATAAAAATGGCAAGAATGGGCATGCTTGCCTTATTCCTCAGTTTATGGGAAAAGCATCAAGCTTTTGACCATTAAGTATGATGTTAGCTGTGGGCTTTTTGTAGATGCACTTTATTAGATTGAGAAAGGTGCTTTCTATTCCCAGTTTACTGAGAGTTTTTCCAATTAAATAACAATTTAAAAATGCAATGTGCTTTGATAAAAAAATTTACACCAAGTGGTCAATCTGACAATGTTGTAAAAAGTTAATTTTTTCCTCTTTGCTGTGGCCATTGTGTCCTACACAGAAGCTGGACCTATCTGAATGTGCAGCAGATGTACCCATATAGAATCCACACAATCAGACTAACAAGGTGGATTATGTATGGCTCTAGGGAAACCTGTTGTTTTTATACCAACCATTCAGGTGTTATTAGAGACAGCCTTGCATTAGTCAGAAAACACATTAAAGAAAGAAAAGAGTCATATAATAATAATAAAAATTGGTTTAAAATCTTTTTCCTGGCCACCTTATGTTTTAGTCCATCTTGTGTTGCTATAACAGAATATCTGAGGCTAGATAATTTATAAGGAAAAGAGGTTTATTTGGCTTACGATTCTGGGACAGCTGCATCTGGCATAGGCCTCAGGCTACTTCTACTCATGGCGAAAAGTGGCAGGCAGCCAGTGGGTACAAGCAAATCACATGGTGAGAGAAAGCAAGAGAGAGACAGAGAGGAGGTGCCAGGGTCCTATAAACAACAAGCTCTCATGGGAACTAATAGAGGGAGAACTCACTCCCTCCCCCCCCTCCCCCAGGGAGAGCATTAATCAATTCATGAGGGATCCACCCCCATGACTCAATCAGCTTCCAACACTGCCACATTGGAGATCAAATTTCCACATGAGTTTTGGAGGGGACAACACATCTAAACTTCATCACCTTGGTTAACGAGTATAATCAATCAAACTTCTTGTCTTACGTACTAAGTACAACAAATTAAGTACCGATGAATCAATGATTTGATTCCTTCCTAAAGAGGAGTTGGGAATGAAATAGAGCTCCCTACACCCTCATAACATACGCTATCTGCTTCTGTAGAATTGCTTGCTCAACCTAAGTAACTCCATTTTGCCCCATCTGACCTGCAGACTACCCCCCCGCCCTTCTGCATGAAAACAGGAGCCATATGCAGTGAATTATTACATGGGAACAGGAACCATACACAATGAAACATGTATGCTTGATTGCTCGAATGGCTCATTCTCAGCCTCTGTGACCTAGCTCCCTAGCTTGCTTTGTGCACCTGGACAAACCCATGTGCCAACGGGATGTAGTTTTTGTCTTTAAAAACCCCACAAGACCAAAGCCTGATGCCGCTCTTCCTTGGTTGCTCCTTGGGAGACGGACGCTGGCCAGCTGGAGGGAATAAACTGTCCTTTTCTGCACGAGTGGCGTGTAAGTGCATTTCTTATGGGAGGGTGCCTCACAACATCATTGTGCCAGGGAGCAGAGCATCCAGGAACCCTTCCTACCCTTCCTCCTATTCCCACCACCCTTCTCCCCCCTCACTTCTCCTTTTCCTAGATTTCTGTGGCAGCCCCATGTTTTCCCAGCAGAGCTTTCAGGGCTCTGAAAGGCAGGCAGAGCCCTGGGAGGTGACATTCCCAGCATTCTCTCCCAGCAGAGAGCCAGGCCTCTAGCTCCAGAACCCTTTCCTAGCAGAAGCCCTGGTGTCAAGGGGAGACAGCAATAAAATATGCAAGACCCATAGCCTTGACCTGCAAGTCAGAGGAATGAGACATGGCTCCACAGTGGGGCGGTCCTCTCGCCAAGTCGTGTGACATTGTACAAGTCACTTGATTTCTCAGAACTGCACTTTTGTTATTTCTAAAATAGGGATGATGATGATTTCTTCCTCACAGGATGTGAATTAAAAGAAAAAATGAGGGGCTGGCCAGTTAGATCACTTGGTTAGAGCATGGAGCTGATAATACCAAACACCAAGCTCCAAGGTCAAAGGTTCAGATCCCTACACCAGCAACCAAAACATGAGAGAGAGAGAGAGAGAGAGAGAGAGAGAGAATGCACATGAAAGGCACACAGCATGCAGCAAATATTTATTGAAAGAATTCACGGGTGACCTTGGGCACATCACTTAATGGCTCTAAGCCCCATATTATTACTGTAAACCAGGCATAATAAAAACATCCTTCATGCCTACAGGGATGCTTTGGGAATCAAATCATTTGGAAACATGAAAATGCTTTGAAAAGTAAAGTGAGTTCTGGAAACACAAGAGGTTATGTGTCTTTTGTCTGTTTGTAGTTCTGGGAGCGGGGGCATAGAGGATGGCTCACCTGGCAGGATGAGCCGCAGGTACCCAATGTAATATGACCATGCCAGCCCATGAGCCACATTGAAGTTCCGTTTTTCACAGACTGCAGAGACCTCAGCTGGGGCCAGGCCCTGTGGACAGTAAGATGGGGCTGGAGGCCTCCATGAAAAACACCGGAGCCCTCCTCCTCCAAGAAGCTTTCCCAATCAGCAGCTGACTTGCTTCCTCTACCATCACCAAACCCATTGTTCCAGGACATTATAGGATCCATTCCAAGGACTCCAAAATTTAAACTAGTCCCACTCCCAGTTCTGAGCTGAGAGCAGGTCACACCAGCCACAGCCTCCACTTGTCCAGACCCCCCACCTCCCTCTGTGTCATACCTGGAGGTCCAGGAGGATGTTCAGTGCCTGTGAGAGGCCCAGGAGGGCAAGCATCCAAGTGAAGGGCAGGCCAGCCATGTTTGGGAGGGAGAAGTAGAAATAGCAGGACAGTAGCAGCAGCGCCCCGCAGCGGATGGGGCAGCCCAGGCAGGCCCACACAGCCCTCCAGTAGTTGCCCTGGTACCTGCAGATGACAGCCAAGCCCCAGACCCCAGCCCCACTCAGCCAGAGAGGCTCAGGGAGGGGCGGGGCTGGCAGTCAAGGGAGGGACACATGTTGGGTGCCCAATTGCCACAGGTCTTGCAGGGAGTCAGTCACCTGGAGTGGACATGGCACAGCTCCTCAGCCAGATTGCAGATCCCCTTGAACAGCAGTCCCAGCTGCAGGGAGGCAAGATGGAGTACCAGGTACCAGAGAGTGTGGGATGGTGGCTCCTTCAGCCCCCAAAGGGCCACCAAGCAGGCAACCAGCAGGACAGAGGCTGCCTTCTGGGCCCCGTGACCTCTGGGACATGGGATGGATGAATGCAGGCTGGAGTGGGGCATCTGTGGAACCAAGAAATCCATGACCATGCTCCCCTTGCTCTCCAGCCCTTCTGAGGCTGAGGCCCTGGCCAGGCACCTTGCCCGAGCTCTCTCTTTCACTGGTGCCCCAGCCATTGTCAGAAGCTGCTCTTGGGGGCCGGCCCGGTGGCGCACTGGATAGTGCGCTGCTTGGGAAGCTCGGCGGCGCTCCCGCC